TAAAGAAATTTCAATGGCTCTGGCTTACAGCGCGCGGGCAATATTTTGAAAGTTTTTTTTTGTAATTATATAATAACTACGCTCGTAATCTCTTAATTTATATCTGGTCCAATAAACCCGCGTCATTTTTCATAACGCTCTCATAAAGTTTCGGTATTTTCTCTCGATTTTACTTTTCGTTTCTTACGCTGACGTTTGATTGCCATCAGAAACAACTCTCACACACACACACACACACACACACACACACACACACACACACACACACACACACACACACACACACACACACACACACACACACACACACACACACACACACACACACACACACACACACACACACACACACACACACACACACACACACTCAAGATATTATATTTATAATATATAAAATGTCTGATAAAGTGTCTGATGCCTAATGATATACCACTTGTATGCAGATAGGACGGAAGTTATTAATCATTAATAAAGATTTCTAGATTGGCCGATGAACCAATGAGAAGACATGCACTCATTCTAGAATCTTTAATAATTAACTCTAATAGTTAATTGCGAAAATCGCAAAATACTAGAGAACTTTGTGCTCAGTTGACTCACTTGATCTACTTGATCATTACTTGCATTCAAGCAATGTAACATTAGAAATCAAACATCCTGTATATATAATAGGTATTACAAATTAAAAATTGAAAAAAATCATTAAATGATCATGAATTGTGTAAGAAAATCCAAATCTCAAAAATTATTTCTGATAAAAATTCTATCTTATATAAAATTCATACGGAATCTCATTTCAGCCTCGTCTGTTTCCTCTAGAGTTCGTGTATCCGTCGATAATAAATTCACTGGCAAAAGGTCATCTTGCATATCATTCTTTTTTGAAGTTAAACGCATTCTTATAGAAGATTCAATAATCGGTGATACGTGCAAATTTTCTTCATATGTGTTTGGTATATCTCGAGTTTTTTCTGGTGTACAGTTATACACATCCTCAAATAATTGTATGCATTCATGATTGTTTAGAATGGATTCCTGCGTATTTATTGAGGGTTCATTAATTAACTTTTCCGATTCAGTTTCCCATTCACTATCTGACTGAATTATTATTCGCTTTCTTTTGACCGTTCTTTTCTCTTTCTTGTTCTTCAAAGTTTTCTTTTGCGCTTTTACTATATATATAAAAAATATATTAATTTTATAATTTGAGAAATATATATATATATATATATATATATATATATATATATATACAGTTTAATATATTTTAATGTTTAATTCGATTACAAAATATTTCTATAAAATCTTATACTTTTGTTCTAATTTTAATTGACACGTATTATTTAAAGATTTATTCATTAATTCATTTTACTTGCCTTCATATTCACTATCAGTCTCTATCACATGCCAATTTTTGCTTCCCTTTTTCTTTCCCTTTGTATATCTTTTGTGTTTTTTTGCTAGAATACATTAATTTACACAATTTTATATATTTTAATCTTCAGAGATATCTTTATATATTTCCAAAAATTGTTATTCTCTCAAATTTTAATTAGTATAAATTATATTTTATATTGTATATTTTATATTGTATAATTTGTTATAATAATATTATTAAAAAATATATTTCATTTTTTTCAAAATTAATGAGAATTTTTATTAAAAACGATTTACATATGATTGATTTATAGCATATATTTTATAGGGGTCAATTATATATTCATACATAAATCATTTTTTAATAAAAATTAAATCATTACATTTTAATTGATTTAAATTACATTTAAAAAACTTAGAAAAATATAATTAGATATATAAACATGACTTACTTTGGATTTGCGACTGAATAAATTGTGAATTTCTACCTCCACTCGAGGAAGAAAATGTATCAATCCCAGATAAGGATATACTATGAAGTTTTGTTAACGGCTTGATCGGTGTGCTTGCATACACATTACCTATAGTTGCACGTTTGTGACTGTTATTTTGATCAAATATGTGAGATGTTGTTTGTGACATGTTGTTGATCTATGTTCAACATGTATTTATAGAGCACTTAATTCTACTTTTTATAATTAATAACTTTGATATATATAACTACATTTAAATAATAATTCACTCAGTGTTTAAGTGTGATTGAATCAACAGAACTATTCTACGAGTAATTTTCTCTCATAGTTTGTATACAAAGCTATAGCTTGATCTTCTAACTAGTCACCTTCATCACATTGTGTTGTAAACATTGTGAGCTTCGACAAATTGTTATTCAATAATTTGACACCGATTATTTCGAGGGATATGAAAATGTTTCAAGGAATGAGAAAACGTTTTATCAGCTTTTTTTTATTTAAAAAGATGTTTTATTTAATATTTTTTATAAAATAATCATATCAAAAATAATTTAAAAAATTGTAATACATTTCATACAATATTATGTATTATATAAAATACTGTTTGTTATTATTTTTAAAGTTTATAAATTTTATTATATGTACGTATATAATAATGTATATCATGAAAAGTTCAGAATCAAAATTCCAGTCTTTCATGATATATTTTCTTGATATTTATGTTCATTTCTCCGATTTCTCCCATTTCGACTCGAATTGGAGTAATCGATTTCATTTCGAACATTTTCGATTACACTATTCTTTCGGGCATTCGAAATCGAATGTTTCGAGTAATCGAGTAACCAGTATATCGAATTATCTGTATTCGAATTAAATTCGATTCGATTCAAAGAGATCGAATATCGGATATTCAAGAATTTCATGTATCGCGCAACTGCGAGAAACATGCGATTTCTGCTTTCTGATTGCCACTGAATTTGAGGTTATGTATCTATCAGTGCCGGTAGAAAGGGTTATACATAACAGTAGCATGTTGCGAAACGAATGATGAACAAGCTGCTATCTACTTCGATTAAAGACGTTAGTCAGAAGATTTATAGCGGTGCCGTGCGACCATCCGAAATCTGCGAGGCCTCCATCAAGTTGACTTCAATTGTCAAGCCTCTAAACGCTTATATCACTGTGACAAGCGATGTTGCGGAAGAGCAAGCAAATGCCGCCGATAACAGACAACGACAAAATTCATTATTGGGACAACTCGATGGCATTCCCATCGCCATTAAGGATAACTATTGCGTTAAGGGTAAACCTACAACCTGCGCTTCTCGAATGTTGGCCAACTTTTCCCCGGGTTATGACGCTACAGTTTACGAAAAGCTCAGGGCGCAGGGAGCCGTTTTGATCGGCAAGACTAATCTCGATGAGTTCGCCATGGGCTCCGGTACTGTAGATTCGTTCTACGGGCCAACGAGGAATTTATGGGGCTCGGAAGTGCTGTCTCAATTTTATTCATACAAATCTGACAAAGATTCACAGATTACCACAAGGGAATCTGTGCATGAAAAAGATACATGGCATATAGCAGGTATGTTGTTACTGTTAGTTACTTAAGCCAAATTTATAATCTATTTTTATACTTGAGATTATGTCAAATATATAATTAAGAAAACATAAAATTGTGAAACAATCGTAGCCATATTAGTGTCTTAATACATTACTTTAAATCTTGAAATAAGAAAAGATTATGAATACTGGATTTAGTATATCTTTTCTACTTTCTACTGTTTTGTTCCTTTATTTTGAGGGATATGTTAGCAACAATATTTTGGGATATGATAAATGCATCTTAGGTGGCAGTAGTGGAGGTTCGGCAGTTGCAGTAGCCACAGGTACCTGCTATGCAGCCTTAGGCTCTGACACTGGTGGTTCCACTCGTAATCCCGCATCCTATTGTGGTCTAATTGGCTTGAAACCAACTTATGGTTTGATATCACGTTATGGTCTTATTCCTTTGTTAAATTCAATGGATGTGCCTGGTATTTTCACGAGAACAGTAGACGATGCTGTATTAATTTTGAATGCTATAGCTGGTCCTGACCAGGCGGATTCCACCACTATACAAAAAGAATATGTTCCAATTCATTTATCCGAAACGATAGATATTAGTAATCTTAGAATTGGGATACCAAAAGAATACGGAGTGGAAGGCATAAGTGAGGAGATTCAAGAATGTTGGAACGATGTCTCTCATCTTTTAGAAGAAGCGGGAGCTAATGTAGTTCCAGTATCATTACCTCATACTGACTACTCCATAGTATGTTATTCTGTTTTAAATCGATGTGATGTAGCTAGCAACTTGGCTTGTTACGATGGCATAGAATACGGTCATAGAGCTGATGAATGGAATTCGGCTGACGAATTATACAAGAAGACTAGATCGGAAGGTTTTAACGGTGTGGTCAAAAGTCGTATATTAGTTGGGAATTATTTTCTCTTAGCGGAAAATTATGAAGAATATTATATGAAAGCGATGAAAGTACGAAGATTAATTACACAAGATTTTGACATTTTGTGGAATAATAATATAGATCTTTTGCTGACTCCGACTACATTAACTGAAGCTCCGAGGTACAATGAATTTATACAGCTAGACAATCAAACACAGTGCTTGATTCAAGATCACTGTACACAACCTGCAAACATGGCTGGTTTGCCTGCGCTCAACGTGCCAATCAAATTGTCTCGCGGAGGACTACCCTTATCTTTGCAGTTAATGGCACCGCTCTTTCATGAACATAGACTATTTACTTTGGCAAAGTGGATTGAACAAATAGTGCAATTTCCAAAACTCAAATTGAAAGATTCATGTCTGCTCAAATAAAATAGCTTTTTACGGACATCTTTGTTTCATTAATCCTGAATTTTTTAAAAATTAATATATTATAGATCTTGCGTCAAATATAATTGATTTGTAACGATTATATGTAACTTAGCTTTTACAACCAGATTTCACATATGCCTCTTTGAATATTGCGGATACAATTAGAATGAAGATTAATACATAAGTTTCATCGCGTAGAACAACGATCGTAACAAACTGGCCCTGAGGCCACGCAAACAAATTACACTCTGGTATACCATCGAGCGTATCTGAAATTCTATTCGTCGAATAATGGCGTTTGCTTTTACAACGAAACGACCCTTGTCTCATTTCACCGCATTGTAATGTTCGTTATACATGAAGGCAAAGTAGAAATTGCAGTTCTCTTCGCCGTAGGACTAATTTTTCGCTAAAATGTAAGGGAAAAGCTTTTCCAAGTAAGTAAATGTTATTGAAAAAGCAACTTTTCATTAAAATTTTATTTTTTCACATCTGCAAACCTTTCCGGATCGAGTCTTTGCGTATTTACTTTCCATCTCGGCCATAGTTTTCTTATACATATATTCTCATTTTCACCAATCGTCCCACTATCATGAGTTGTCGAGGTTTTCACGGAGAAAATCCGAATTTCATTCCCCAAGGACCCAGAGGATTTGAACGAGTAAACAACTAGCAACACGAGCGTGCAAAATGTAACGCCTTTGATAATTAGATCGCTGTGACATTTCAGTTTAATCTATTGTTCACAAGAGATTAAAAAGTTAACAGAGAAATGGAACAATCTAATATGTATGAACTCTCTCTCAATTGCGTTTTATTGTTACAAAATACGAGATATCAAAAGCCGCAAGATTATAAGAAAATAATTGCATCATACTATAAATTCAGAGTTAAATATTGTTTGTATAGTAAGATTTGTATTTTGTATAAATAATTACTGATCAAACTATTATTTTTTTAATACAGATATTTCCTTGAAATGAATTTTTGTCTTTATTGTTGAAACATTGCAATCAATTAAGGTATGAAACGTAGAGTAAACAAGAGATATCTCTGATATCTTTATATTAAATATTTCTACATATCTTTTTTTATTTTTTTATATCAAATATTGGTTTACGAACTTTAAAAAAATTAAGAAAAAAATGTATTCTCTCTCTCTATCTCCGTAGATATTATTTCGTCCTCTTATAAGCGACGCAAATGATCAGACTATGTTTCCGGACATTTCTATTCAGATACATGATAATCGGATCGTCTCATTTTACATTCCCTTTTCGTACCATATTATGTTTTGCGTTAATTTCTTATTTTTCTCATTGCACAAGTTACAAGAACTCGGTTCTAATTATCACAGAATCATGAGAAATAAGACAATTATTTCGAAAAAAAGGAGAGAATGTTAGTCATTTCATTACTTGTAATATTTCGCTCTATTATATTAATCACAAAAAATTTTTAAATTATTTCTCGAACATTGGGAACTATATATGAGGAATTCCTGTTATTATTTTCTACTCTTACCCCGCTTGCTTATGGACAGAATTAATCCGCAGATACGGATGGCTAATACTCGAATACATGCGCCGAACTAGGTCGCCTGGTGTACAAAGCTATGTAATTAATGACAGAAGAAATAATGTATCTAAGTACCGTATCCGATATCGAGCAAGTCGTGATCGTATTACCGTACTCGCTTTAATCCAGACTCATAAAGCTTTACGGCAGCCATCGGTAAGAGCACGTGGTATGCTTTAGAACATCAAACGCACTCGGCAATCATTCTCCTGAATTTAAAAAATATGAAGCCTTTGTGATTGATGCAACCCTCAACTTTAATCCGATTCTTTCATACTTTGATTTCTTACTCCGATCGGAGCCCGTCATAAATTTTCAACTAACATTTGGCCCGAAAATGCGACTGTCGACTACTTTAAGCATTCATTATTGCTGTTCGCGCGATGTTCTTGTATTGGTATAGCAACAATAGCAGGAAAAGGGATGATTATAGAGAGTCATTAAAACTTCTTTACCCGCTCGCCTTTCTTTCTTCGCGCAATTAATGTCGCAACTCCGTTGCGCGATATATTTTTACGACTCGACTAATCTCGTGAAAAAAGTTGAGAGAGCAAGAGATGCTTCTCTCTCAAAAGATGAAACTTTTCCGAAACTTTTTCTTCTTCATATATCAAATTTTGTAGCCTAATTTAAATCGTATAATTCGAATTCCAAATTTTATCGACAAAGTCCAGGAAAACAAAAGGTATATATTTGATTTTAAATTTTGCAATTTCGAACGCAGTGTGCAACGTCAATTATTGGCAATCTGCCGTATTGCAGCCAATTAACATTTACTTGTCCAGGTACAAATTACAATGTGCGGTTAATGGAAGTTGTATTTTCAAAAACTCGCGATTTTCCGATTTATGGCCAAATTTCACGGTTACATAGTAACATAGCATACATTCAAATATATTCTTTTTTATATCGAATCTTCGATGATATGATAAATGATATTATGATAAATCAGTATTTTTCAGTAATTATGAAAATTATACGAATTGTTAAATTTTGATCTGCATTCATTAATAAAATTCTTCGTCTCTCATTGTTATCTATTTTGCACTCAAAATAAAATTTGAATAAATTTTATAATTTTATTTAATTTTATAATCATGTTATAAAACTAAAGGAATGCAATATGAGTAATGTATGAGTTTTCAAAAACTCAGGAAATCTTAAAAAATAATTAGTAATAATAATTAGTAATAATGATAAGAAGAAATTACGATTGCAAGAGAACAAGCTGCGAGAATGACAATAAGTTCAACCCTAATGTATCTTGGCAACCCTTTGACAAACGCCTTCACGTATAAGCTATGTATTAGTAGGAAAGATAAATAAAAAAAACCCTTAAGAATTCGCAATAGTTATAGCAACAAGGAGATGATTGGAGGAGATGATTATGTGACCAGTTAGTAAATGAATTTCAAGCAAACAGGTCGCCAGGATGATTTTATACGCAGCCGTTCGGTATCATCGCACTGTACAAGTTCGCTTTCACCCTCGTAACACAAAAAAAAACGCCAAAAGTATACCCTCTCAGATATAACTAAACCATCTCAAGGATCTGTCAGACGACAGGACGGTAACGCAAAATGCGAAATGAAGGGAAGAAGGCAGGCGGCTAGCTACGTACGAGAGGGTGGCCGTTTCTCTGGGAAAACAGGGTTGGGCACGGGGTGGCGAGGACGCATGCGTCAGACCCGGCCGTCGGGGGCTGTCGTGTCGCTCTCTGCCGTCGGTTACGCCAGTCGTCGTGACGACTTCGAGCCGTCGTTATCGAGAACGTCGTGTTTTCAAATCGTTCGCGCGCACCCACGCACTGTCTCCGAATTTTCTCTCTCTCTCTTCTTCTCTCTCTCTCTCTCTCTCTCTCTCTCTCTCTCTCTCTCTCTCTCTCTCTTCTTCTTTCTTTCTTTTTTATTTTTTCTCTTCTTCTCCTCCTTTTCTTTCTGTCATCAATTTCTTCTCATTCACCGCCGCATTCGCTCGCTCGCTCGTTCATTCGCTCGCGCTCGCGCGCGCGCGCACAAAGACATCGTGGCGCTCGCACCGCACTTCAAATCATTGGCAAGTTCGCGCCGCGGGTGTCGTCGGCGGCGATCGTCGTCATTGCGGATGTGTGTGATGACCGATAGCGACCGATGAGGGATCGTGCGCGGGTGATCTCGCGCGACTCGCAAAGTGGTGCGACGTAGTGACCTACGCGGCCGTTCTCTCGCGGTTCGCTCGCGGCCGCCGAAATATCGGCGCAGCTTAGACAGGTGCGCGAGTGACCGCGGCACCCCTCCACTCTTCCCGTGTTATCACATCCCCGTCGGCTGCGCGCGACCACCCCGCAAAGGTACTCCATGACTGCACACCGCGTCGCGACAAGTGGACAGGCTTCGTCGACACCTTGGCTCATCCGACATCGCAAGTGAGTGACGACAGATAAGTGTAATAAAAAAAAAAAATCCGAAACGGAGAGAAAAAGGCTGCGCATGAAATTTGGAATAATTTTTCAAGTCATTTGAAAGAACTTTGAAAGCTTTTGAAAAGGTTTCAAACTGCGCAATTGATACGAATCATATTATTGAATTGCAATAATATGATAAAATTTGGGGTTTGTTTATCGAATGAGATTATTGCGGAAAATATAATTTACTTTATTATTGCCAACGCGTATCTATCGCGCAACATTGACATAAGGTCTATTTTTTTCAGTTAAACTTCTTGTACAGTTCATGTTTTCTTTTTTCTCCCCATGTTGGAAAGAAGAAAAGAAAGAAGAAGCTGAACTGTGCAAAAAGTTCAGCTGAAAGGAATAGGTCTATAATTAACACAAGTTGTTTAGGTTAAATTTTATGAATTAAGAAAACTTGATAATTCGTAAATACATGTTCAAATATAGAATAAGATAATTCAAAAACTGCTTTGAGTATCCATAGTTGAGAATATAATATTATCGCATCGTACCGTTTCTTGCAGAAGAAACGAAAGACCGAAGAATCATGCGTTGGACGTATTGCGCCGAATCGATACCGTATTTCCGTAACATATGGCATGCAGTGGAAATGGAATAGTTTAAAATACAAATCTGTTATTCGGATAGATCGTAGCCAGATAGATTACCGTCATACGAATACACGCCAAGTTTTCCATTGAACGGAGAACTTTTTCGAAAGCGCGCGACAAACGAGGATATTTTTCTTTCCGGGCAATTTTTCTTTCAAATCGATATTTTCTCCGCTCCTTCACATTGCGGTCAAATCGGATGTGTTTCATGCGATTTCAACATTTCCGCAATATTGTAAGTAACAACATAGTGTGCATGTTGCGTAATTGAGATATCTCGTCATCTTGTAATAAATAACGCTTTAATAATATAATAAATTTTACGTCGTTTCGATAATGAATAATAAATTTAATATATTGCAGCATGAAATTATTGTAAACAGAGGTATATAATGTAATATACTTAATCTATAAATTTCAATATATCGTTATCGTAATAGATTCCATTTTAATAAGATTACTATATTAATAATATATTTGCACATTTACCGAATGTTTCGGCGGTTTAACGTTGGAGGAGCTAGTTAAAGTGCTAGAAGCGCGTGTCGTGATGTAAAAGGAATCCGTAAACTCAGCCGGACGGCGACTCGTTGTAATGCAATATCGCGACAGTTTAACACCGTTGCCGCCGTACTTTAGTTGTTGCAGTTCGCGCGACTACGTCATTTCCTTTTTCCGCCTAACATAGAGTCGTCTACGGTAACTCCGTTAGACGGGTAAACAGGAATGTGTGCGCAGGCTTCCGTGATGCTTTTCACGGTGTTATACTGAAAACGTCGTCCGCACGGTCCGCACGGCCGCGGGGAAACGTCGTAAGAGGAAATGTTGTTGCAACGTTGTCTGTATTCTGTCAGTTTGCATCTTTGTCGGTATATCGCGTGGAACCGTCAACCGGCTCCGTTTATTCAGACCCGTTTATTGAAACCCCGAGTAAACGGGCGAGGAGACAACGCGAGAAAACAACGGTGGAACCTTGGCCATATTTCATTCTTCAACGGAATCTCATTTTTCAATCTTTTTTTTTCTATTTTTCTTCCTGAGCGACATCCTCGTTTTTCCCTTATTTCCCTTCGCGCGGAGTCACACCACACCCTCCGTGTATTTGACGCTTTAGTATCGGATTACCGTTCTACTAATTTGGTTTACAAGTTACATCCAAGAAAAACATATAGCTTATTAGGGAGGATAATCGCGCGTACGATTCATTAATCATTCGGCCGATTCTTATTGCTTCTTTTTGGGCGAATTATGCTAATTAGTTCACCCAGTAGCGAGCTATCGCAATCATAAAATTCACTCATCGCGCTAGGAATAGTTTTAAATTTCTTCTCTTTCTCTTTCTTTTTTATCTCTTCTAACAGTAATTTTTCGTTCTATTTTAGGAGTTACTGATTGGTTCACATGTTATGCAGGAATATAAGATTTCGATGGAAAGTTAAAATCCTCTTTGCAAGTGCGATCTTAATATCCGTGCGCTCGAAAGACTTTCACACGATTCATCCCATTTTTATCTCTCGTTCTTAATCGCCGTGGGTTTTTATCTAATTAAACGATGATGGATCGCACGCAAATAGTCATTCCATCACGTTGGTAATTACAATTAAGGTGAATGTTTTAGATCCTTTAGAATTATCTCAGATTCAGATTTTTTGAATGTTATGTTGTATCAAATATTCAAATGTTGTATTATATCGAATTTTAATATAGATATTGCAACCAAAAATATTCTGTTCTGCGGTAATCAATATTCATATTCTTTGTGCGCTTATACCATTCGAAGGTTTCGTATTATATGCAGAATAAATACATTTGTATGGGAATGCTTCGAGTTTGATACATGCGTCTATGACGCGGTTCCGCACGATAAGAAAATTCATTACGCTTCGGAAAACTCCGCGTTACGTGAATAACGTTATGTAGAAAAAAAGAAAGGCGGCAAGTTCATGATAACGAAGCATCGGTTACCGGCTAATTTTATTATCGAGAACGGCCAGTAAATCGCATCCTTATTCCATGTTGCGATTAACTTTTTTTCTTTTTAATTTGTTAATCGATCGTCGTTTAAGGCGCGTTATTGATCTTTTTCACCATCATTTCGCGCTCACTTAATATCATCGATATAATTTTCGTTATAAAATATCAATAGTTTATTAGAAAGTTTACTTAAAGTTTTTTTGTTTTATTTATTCAAAATGCGGTAGGAGTAAAATATCATAATATATTTAATAAAACGATATATGAACGCGAGAGAAAAAGAGATATATAAAATATACCTTTAAAAAATTCCAACGTTAAAATATTAATCAGATTTTTAAACTAGTCGCTTTAATTTCAACTTATTAATCAACGATGGAACTCCTCGACGGTGAGAGATTGAAATTTGACTGGACTTCCAATGATCGAACAGAGGAAAGATTTTTATCAATACTCATAGAGGGATATCACGAGCTGGATAATTCGCGAGATCAATGTCGGAGAGAAGTCGCTTTAAATATGAAGATAATCATGCAAGTTTCAGAACATTTGTATCGCGCATCGTAAAGCGGCGCCGAAGGCTTCTCCACAAAGAGAAACCCGTTTATTACATTGATTACTGAAGCGCGTGGGTTCGCATGGCGGATGATAAAATTTTGCCGTCACACAACGGACTGGCTCTTCATACTAAGAATATCTAATATCGATTAACCTTGCGATCTGTACATATGAGAACGTTCTTATAATACCTATTTTTTACTACGTAATTAAATACCTGACCCCCATGCTGCTATGGAACTCCTTTTAATACTAATGATATAATTACATTATAGTATAAGGGGCATGGTCGTGACGATAAACATCAAGGATGTGACATGGTTTTCTTGAAGGAATCCGTATTAATGCATCATATCTAAAAACTAGGACTATCATATCTAAAAAGATCGAAAAGTTTTTTATTGCAATATACATATATTTGAGACATTTTTATTTCATTAAAAATTAATAATAAATATAAATATTGAAGATGTGTACTCTTATATAAATATAAAATGACTAGGTTGAAGCCTAAATTAAAACTAAACATAAAATATGATATAAATTATGGTTCAAAAATGTAACAATTAACTAAAGACATTTTTTTATTATAATTTACATATTTAAAATGAGTGTATCGTTACATATTTGTTTCATTCTTTCTGAGTAACACGCTAATGAAATTTAATTTCATTACTTTACAAAATGTAACAAAATTAAATTTTATTACGTTAAGAGATAAAGTATTATTACTTTGAGCATTATTTAGTATTCCATTTATCTTAATTATGTAAAATTTGCTTTCAAAGTTGATTTAGAAATATTTTATCCTTGTTTATTGTATTTTGTATTTTCATTTTATAATAATTAACATTTCTCCGATTTATTAATCAATTACATCTTCTGTTGTTTGTAGTTAATTTAATTGTGTAACATATAATTACACAAAATTTGATATTTTGTTTTATTATAAAATATTATAATTTTATTTATTTTTTATAAATAAATAATTATTACATTTAAAATAGTTGAATACATGAAGAAAAAAAATTATGTCTTATGTCGTATTTATTTATACAGTCTATGGTTTGATTTGAAAGCGTAACAGCTGAGTATTAAATATCATGTAGAGTGTATTGTTCAAATCCGCGATTTATTTTCGGCAATACTTAAATCAAACACATACAGTACAATATTGGTTTGCAATCGATATATACAAGCAGCTTATGTTTTTCATGAAATATATAATCGAGCGATATATCATTTCGTATCCTCGTTAAGTTTGCTATCTAATATTGATAGATTCATATCTTTTGATTTAAATTCTAATGAAATGCAAAAAAAATCAAATGTTTCAGTTATCTTACAATTAAAATTGCCTTTCCGAGAAAGAGATTAAAACTCTTATTTTAATTAAAATTTTAATAAATTTGTGATAGAAACTTTAAATACATGTTTTTTTTAATTATTTAAAAGAATATTAGAAAAGTGTTTTTTTTTAATTTTGTCGTTATGTTACTTATCTTTACAATGTTTCGACACAATTCTGATCCGTCGAAAGCCAAGACGTCATCGAATCGTCGCATGTAGTTTTCTTGTGGCGCAGATGGCACATTCCAGATCCAATTGGATAACAAAAGGCACGTTTACGAACAATACATGTCACTGAGCAGCAGAATAGCTCCTCCCTTTTGATATGCCACTGGCGATTAAGTACCCTAATCTCACTGACAGCGTTTATCATTGACAATGCTCATGGTATCATCAGGACTGAGTTGAAGCCTTTATAAATCTTATAAGTCTTTTAGTCAAGAGAACATAGTTTTAATAGATATTCACGTAATTTGACGAAAATTTGAACAAAACAAATCATATTTCTTATGATAATGCCAGATAGATACTCATTATGATAATGTTGGACCGCACTCATTTTTACTTTGGAATAAAAAAATATTTTGAAGCTAATAAAAAACTTTTTAAATCAAACTACAACTAAATCATAAATAAGAAATATTTCCATTAAATAATAAAACAAAACAATTTTTTAGAACATAAAAATGTAGCTATTTTTTGTTTTTTATATATTAATCTTGAAGTAGGATTTTTTAGTTTTTATTCTTTATTATGAAATCTAAACAATGTATCTTTTATGATAAAGATAATCCAATTTTGCGATTTGAGTTACGACGTTGCGAACAGCGCGGACAAATAAATGGTACCTGATGGTGCGTCCCTTTGCGCCTGGTGCCAAAAAGGGGTGTAAAGATGGGAAATAGAGGGATCATCAACAATCCCTCGAGTATGGATAATAGATCAATTGAGAAGATATTCTGCGTGCAAGATAAGAATATGTAAAAATTTTTTCTCTTTTTTCCTTTTAAAATATTATAAATATGTAAAATATCATAGAACAATTGCAATATGAACAATTAAATACGACAGAATACGCAATACAACAATTAAATACGATAGAATAAGCAATATAATAATAATGCTCACTCTGCAATCTAGAACTTATTATAAATTATAATAATCCATAATCATATTAATTAGAAGGAAATTGTTCTCTATAATCTCCCCTAGAAGGTATAATAAATTAATTGAATCTAATGATCAAGCAGTGTCTATTAAATTTGCTGGTTAAATTTGCGCACGGCTCTAGTCAACCTTCCATAGCAAGCATAAAGTTACAATAACGAGAGATCGCGATTGGCCATGTGAAATAAATTTAATCCGTTTTTGAGAGTTATAGAAACCATGTAAATACAAAACAAAGCTATATTTGAGATATGTTATTTTCTACTCTTCGGTCAATTGCTTTGTATGTTCAAATATTTTTGTTTTGATTATATGATCATTTCATTTAATACAATCTATTGAATCTATTTTCAAGAGTTTTTTTTTCTAATTCATCATTTAAAAATATTTTTAGTTTCATTATCACAGAATTTTTTCTGCGAAATTCTATTACTATATCTGAGTTTCGAAAATCGAAACTGTGATGCATTCAATGTGATATATATCGAGCTAAATATATAGCAGAAGAACAAAATTATATTTTCGGTGATGAGTAAAAGTTATTTTTTGTCAACATGATCTCTTCTATTTCAATAGTCCACTCTCTTATCGTATCTTCAAACAGACACTGATATCTTTTTTCGTTAACAATGCTCACCCTTGAAAAGATTTGAATTACGACATCGCGACTGATCAGAGTGGATAAATGGTACCTGATCCCACTTATCGTAGCACGTGATGCAAACTGGGGTCAAGAAGCGGCGGATCTCTAGACGAAAAGATAGAACGGGCGAGAAGTTGATGGTGCATCGACCTCGCGTTTTATTGGGAGAAAGAGACAGTCGTTTATTGTCATCTAAAAATAACATTCTCTGCACAAAGACAATAAAATTTAATGTGTAAAAAAGAAATAAAGCCATCTTGAGTTATATTTATCTAATTAATGTCTTATTTTCAGAATTTCGGTCTAATTGATCAAGCTTGAATAGTTTCCTAAAGAACTATAGAATTTCCCGATATGTTATCTTTGTTAATTTAAACATTTTTGTCTAAAAAATAAGCAAACTTTACGAAAGTTTTTAACTTTTTTTGTTTTACTTTGAATACATTTATCACGAATTTATTTTTCTATAAGGATAATAACAATATTATCAATATGTGTACAATTTGTAACAATGACTTAAACGAAAAATATATTTATTCAAAACATATTTTAAAAAAATCTCATTTATATGGTAAATATAAATTTGATGTTTTACGACAACAATTTTCATTTTATCTTTTATTCAATAATTTATTACAATTGTTAATGTATGATTTAAAAAAATATACAAAAAATACACATTAACTATGCGTTGCGACATTTGATTATTCCTTGAAATAATACGACGCATACAGGTTCACTAAACGCGAGTTTCGAAGGGAGTTTTTGACGAGCGAAGCTAAGGAAGGGGAGGCAAACATACGGCGCAAGCTGTTTCGCGAGAAACTTTTGAATTATTTCTTCCTCGTTTCTTCGACTGCGTAGAAGGCACGTCGCGGTGGGATATTATATTCCATAAGGCTTTGTCTTACGAGGTCATAAGCAAGGAAAGGGAAGTTCTCCCCTATCTTTAACATCGTTTCCGTTGACAGGAGAATGCGTCGTCGAGTTTGTTTCGCAGAGAAAGTTGTGGTCGGCAGTGTGCAGATCGGATAACAACGTTGTTGGTAATAGGGTCCGCGACGACACAGAAAATACGAGTTTAAAATCCTCTTTCACTGTTTCGACGGATGAGGTATTATCGCTACTCTGCGTTTATCACACGGAAGCTCGTCTCACTTCGTAAACGACTAATTGGTGCGCACCTCGTAGAATGAGATTAAAGCTTTTGGTCCCGAACAAAATAATAATTAAATAATTTTACACGCTATTTTTATCAAAAGCCAGAGAGAAAGAAAAGGTTTTGTAGGTTTAGCTTGTTAACCTCTCTGCGTTGTTTCTATTTTTTTTCCATTCCTGTCTTTTCTGTCAATTGTTTTCTATCTGCGATTTTAAACGAAGTGACGTAAACATAAAGGGATGCATGGTAAAATTGAAACATAACTAATCCAGAAATTGTCCCTACTTTTTTCGATAAAAGTATTCAGTGTTCATGTTTACGAATGAACATGCGATTTAGAAACAGACGATACGATAATACGATTTTTTTTATATTGAAAGATATATTTTAATTATTGCAATTGGATGGAATATTTTATATATTATAATAAACAGACTTGCACATTATATGAAATGGAAATTTAATTTAGGATTTTTTTTCTGCTATTTTTAATTGTTACTCGAGTTAATGACATACCTTCTACATAAAAGGATATGAAGGATAATATAAAATTCTTTTAAATGCTGTTTTAATTTCTGCATAATGTCGATTATTAATGCTAACATCATTTTCATAATCTTGCAGACGGTCTTATGAAGTTACCCGCCACATTAAAGATGAGAGAGGAATCATCCGGCACACGCTAGTCGACATACGATGCACTTGTGAATTATCGCCCATCATTATGCAACAGTGAATTTCTTCGCTTCCGTTGATACACACACCAAGTGCAGCCGAAATTGCCTGAGATCACACCGAGAGAGTTCGCGAATTCATGGAATCGTGATCAGGTAAGGATCTTGATGTTGCAGCGCGCCAAGAAGGAATCGCCACGAAATTTATACGTCAGGACCGGAAATACGTGCCAATCTGGCCCGGTATCTAGGACGATGACGTAACTGCCATAAGATAGGAAATTTCCTCTGAAAATGGGAGCGGGATTCGCGAAATCGAGCGTGCAACGCTTCCTGAGATATATTACCGTCAGCTACAGTGCACAACGATGAGTTATTGAAGGAATTGGCGCATTATCGATAATGTTATTTGTAGGATACGATATAATTCATTTAATTTGAAAATTTAATAATCTTACAACATTTGATATAAAAATTCTATATATTTTGGTAATTAATGCGCGCGATTATATTTTAGCGAGTATTGTTGTGAGTGCAATGAAGAAATCTAGAGGAGAAGGAGAGAAAATAATAAATTATTATTTTGCGATATTTTTTCATTGTTAACTCTCTACTTACTTGAAATATATTCCATATAATATTTAAAACTTTTGAGTTATATATAATTTGTTAATCACTTTGAGATTAACGGTGCGAAATAATATATGCGAATGAGAACGCATTAAATTATTTAAATAGAACGAGATCCAATAATAACGAGCCCGTCAAAAAAATCAGTTATTCATCAATAATTAATGTAGAATGAAAGAAACAAAATATGTAATATTTTATTTAACATGTATTAAATTTATAGTATGATAAAAATGTAAATAGAACTTCTTTCTTGCTTATCAAATTGATGAGTGACAAGTCAACTTATATTTTAACTCGAAGTAATGAATTTATGAAAATTGAAACTAAACAAAATAACTGAACTTTCACGCATGCGCGTGCGTGTGTGTGTATATATATATATATATATATATATTAGCATAAAAATGATACAGATAAATTTAAAATGCTACAATACGCTTTACATGTAAATTTTACAATTTCTCATGCATTGCTGCGTGAGTGTATACGCGCCGCTGTACTCATTTATTACACGAGCACGTGCATTTCGTTCAGCGTTTCGCGAGGTACTCGCTCTTTACCATCGCATATGGGTCAAGTGTAAGCTGTCAATATTTCGCTTTCCGCGTTTCACGCGTGCGATGTGCATTGGTTCTCCATAGCGCGTATATTTTTTTCTCTTCAATCCCGTACATATTTCGAATATTGACTTTTTACCATAAATCTTATTTTCACTCTTCGTTGAGCGTGCAGAACTATCGAGATGAATTGACTTTTATAGAGTTTTTTATTCAAACTATTTCCTAAAAAGAAGTGTTCAAAATTAGCGAATTATAATATCACACATTTCACATATTGCTATTTATATTTATATCTACATCTATATTTATATTACTATAATATATCATTTTGCTTTAAGGTAGGATTTTATTTGCTTTATTTTCCTGGTTAACGTAATATTTTATCGTATTTTTGTAGATTATTAGTCATCACAAATAATATCTTCTTTTGACTTTATTAGATTTTATCATGGTATAGTGGTATTTTTTGTCCTTAAAAATTATAACCATCCTTAAAGAAAGGAAATGAGGGCTTAGAGTTCGCGTGATAATCGTACATTTCCAATTGCAAAAAGAAGGAGTAAACAGGCTAAGCTATTTATGTGGAACACATCGCGAGAATACGGTGGAATTTGCGAGTCGCCCCCGTAGAATCTTTTGATTCCGAGGATCCTTTTACGACGAAGATGCGATGCAAGAGCGATAATGTCTCGCGTAAAATCCGTGTGCGGCAAAAGAAATGGTAACGACAGTGTAAGCTTACAACAGGGTGCTATTGCACTCCAATATTCTTTTACGCTCCGTATATTTCGTGGTGCATCCACCTATATCCTGTTTATACGTTATGCTCTGTCAGAACCTGAAAGCCATCTCTTATTTCTTTGTACAGATATATTCAATCGAAAATATTTCTACTACAGCTAAAGCTCAATCGAATTGTTAAGTTTACTTCAGATAATTTATAAATTATGTCAAAATTTAGGACACTATTATAATTTTATTTTGTATAATATATAAAAATATTTGAAAAGATTAGACTCTACATATATATATATATTTTTTTTATATATAATATGTATATATGTATAATATGTATATATATGTATATATATATATGTGTGTATATATTATGTGTATATATATATATATGTACGTATTACAATATATAGATATACAAAATACGACGGCATATAAAATTAATAATTAAATAGGATTCTATTTTAATACAAATTATAGAACGTGTCTACGATTGATTTCATGTAGATTAATAAATAAAATAAATTGTT